TCTTCTCCTCTTGCCTCCTTTAGAAGAGAAGGGGTGGACAAGTGAGGAAAAAGCTCTTATAGACACATGAGATAACAGGTGCAAACAGGTTAATATACCCAGTTCACCCAGACGTGCCTATCAATCTACTTTCAAAAAAACAGCCGTTAAAATATCATGGACCACAATTTTACTTTGACATAAACAAGATTACCACAAACCACAATAGGTTATAATAACAAGCACAAGAGGAAAACACTAATCTGTATCATACACACTTATGATGGTTGTTTTTGACAGTGTTTCCACAGAAAAAAAAGACCTAACCATAAGCAAACACACCAACCAACTCTAAGTTTTGCTTTCTGATATTTAGAAACAATCTCCCAAAAAGCCAAGTTTTAAAAAATTGATCAACAAGTCATAACCCACTGAAATTTTTAATAAAACTCCAAAAACTAATGGGATCTGAAAAAAATCAGAGTACGGTTGTTTATTTCTGCTTCAATCTCCTAGAGGGCTATAACTCTTAATGCACTTAGGGTTGTTCAATTGACTGCATTATACGCGCTAACTGCGTGTATTTCGTACATGCCATCTATCTTTATGCCTCACAATAGTGGAGAAATGCTCGTGGGGTTGGAACTCAAGCATCGTGGAGCTGTCTTTTCGTGGTGCACCCTGGGTATGCAAATCACAGGCGGCTCCGGGAGCGTCCGTGTTATCAGTGGAGGTGGGGCCGTCGGGCGGGACCGCCGGACCCCATGCGCCACCTCTCTCCCTTCCTCTTTTCTCGGCGATCCTTGCCCGGGAACCCGCGCCAGCTTTTGCCGGGAAAGGAGTGGGTGCTTCCCACCGGTGCCGGGAGCCGAGTGCAGAGTCCCTGAGGGGGGCTGGGATTGTTCGGTGTTAGTTCCATTTGTTAAGGTTCAGTCGCATCATTCCATACCGGCAGGGAGCACCCCCGTCCTAGGGAGACAAGAGGAAACAGTCCAGTCTAGTCACCCAGGGGCAGTGGGACCACTTAAGAGGCACGTCACCACCACCCCTCCTGGCATCCAATTTGTCTTGAAGGATGATTTGGAATTAGGTCAGGGGGAGGTGAGGAGGTGTTCTAGGCAGAGGAGAGGGCACATGCAAAATTATGGAGATAAAGATCAACAGGAATTCAGCTGGTCCAGAGAGTGGAGTGTGGGTGTGTTGAAATGAGAGTGTGTTTGGCCAGAAGGCTGTCTTCTGGAGAACTGAGGCTGGGGTGGTAGGCAGGGGACAGATTGGGTGAGGCCTGGAAAGGGCTTGGATTTTATCCTATCAGTGACCAGAAGCCATCCACGGGTGTTGAGGCCAAAGGGCTGAGCAGTGCAAAGTGCCACGCAAGGGTGGGCAGCCCTGCAGGCAGTACTGGGACCTTGCCCCCTGAGACTGGACGTGGTCAGTGCCCCAAGGATGGCCACTCCTGGGTCGTCCAGCTCCAACTGTCTGAACCTGGAATCCCTTAAGCTACTGCCACACCAGGCACACCCTTCCATGTTTCCAGATTCCCTAAGCACGCAAAAAGAGCAAAGGAAGGAGGAGAGCACCTATGAGGTGCCGTTTCTTTCCTTTTCTCTCTCTTCTTTCTAGGTTCTGATCACAACTAAGTAAAACTTACCCAGGTTAAGCACAGGAAGGGAGCAGGAGAGAGTAAAAACGATTTGCTAGAGTGGTGGGATTGGGAATGATTGCTTTCTTTTTAAGTTTTCAATATTGTTATGCCATTCTTTATTTTTTTAATTGTGGTAAAATATGTATATGACATAAAACTTGTCATTTTAACCATTTTTAAGTGTACAATTCAGTGACATTATTCTCACAATGTTGGGCAACCATCACCACGATCTGTTGCCAAAACTATCATCACCCCAAACAGAAACTATATCATTAAGCGATGGCTCCCCATTGTCCCCTCCCCAGCCCATGGAAACCACCAATCTACTTTCTGTCTCTATGCAGTTGCCTATTGTAGATATTCATATAAGTGGGATCATACACTATTTGTCCTTTTGTGTCTGGATTATTTCACTCAGGATATGTTTCAAGGCTCATCCGTTTCGTAGCATGCATCAAAATTTCATTCATTTTTATGATTGAATAATATTTAACTGTATGTATATACTACATTTTGTCATTCATTCACCTGTTGGTGGACATTTGAGTTGTTTCTACTTTCTGTCTGTTGTGAATGATGCCCAGGTAATTTCTTACACAAATTATTTAATTTAAAAATCCTGGGGGCGGGGGAGGGGAGGGAAAAAAAGGCACTCTACAGTATAGACTCTAATCTTTCCATTTCACAGATGAAGACACAGAGGCTCGGTGAGTTCAGCAAACTTGCCCACATCATTCAGCTGGTAAGTGGCTCAGTGGGCTGTAACATCTTTTACACTACTTCAGCCTGGTGAGCTCTCCGCCCCACCCAAAACCCTCTCCATAGTGACCCAAATACTGTTGTTGTGTGCCGTTGAGTCAACTCATAGTGATCCTATAGGACAGAGTAGAACTGCCCCATAGGGTCTCCTAGGCTGTAATCTTTAGGAGAGCAGATCGCCAGGTCTTTTTTCCCACAGAGCCGCTGGTGGGTTGAACTGCCAACCTTTCAGTTAGCAGCCCAGCGCTTTAACCACTGCGCACCCGGGCTTCTTACCCAAACACTGAAAAACCCATTGCCATCGATTCCTACTCATAGCGACCCTATAGGACAGAGTAGAACTGCTCCATAGAGTTTTCAAGGCTGCAATCTTTAGGGAAGCAGACTGCCACATCTTTTTCCCGCAGAGCAGCTGGTGTTCGAACCATTGACCTTTTGGTTAGCAGCCAAGCACTTAACCACTGCGCCACCTGGGCTCCAACCAAAACACTAAGGGACCCCAATTCAGTCTCTATCCTTTGGGTAGTGCTGAATTCACCCCCTTCTCTAGGTTACAAGGCAACCACCTGCTTCCTCCTCTTTTTCTAGACAACTTTAGTGTCGATTTAGCTACAGCAAGTTTTTAAATTTTCATTTTGTTTTTTTCCTTAACTTTTAGTCAGAACATAATTTTCTTTCTGGCTTTTGGCTGGGGAACAGATTCTGGCCCCTGGAGATGGGTTGGGGTGAGAGGGCAGTGAGATCATTCTTGTTGAGTAGGTAGCTGGAACCAAGGGTGTTAACGTGTCAGCTGAGACTGAACCAAGGGACAGGTGCGCAAGGATGATAAAAGATTTCCCCACCCTATTGGGAGAGGCCCTGTTCTCTAGCCCACGGGTGTGGCCAGACTCTTCTAGGCCTTTGTACAAGGGGGCTGTTCAGCTTTCACAGTTAGAATCCAGAGCCCTCATTGGTTGCTTGCAATATCTCAATTTCTGGGCAGTTTCTCTGTTTAGGGAGTCCCTGGATGGTGCAAATGGTTTGCGCTCATCTGTTAATTTAAAAGGGTGGTAATTCAAACACACATGGCAGCGTTGCAGAAGAAAGGCCTGGCAATCTGCTTCCGTAAAGATTATAGCCGAGAAAACCCTCTGGAGCAGTTCTACCCTGCAACACATGGGGTTTCCATGAATTGGAATCTACTCCATGGCAACAGATTTGATTTTGGTTGGTTAGTGCACATGGTTACTGTGCTCGCTAACTTAAAGTTTGGGGGTTTGCTTGATCCCATCCAGATGCACCTGGGAAGAAAGGCCTGGTGATCTACTTCTAAAAAACCAGCCACTGAAAACTCTATGGAACACAGTTCTACTCAGACACATGTGGGGTCACCATGAGTTGGAATTGACAACTGGTACTGGTCCCCTCCCTCATTCCTGGGTGTTTGGCCAAAGATGCTTCTGGGACCCCACAGGTTCCTGTGGGCCCTGGCTCCTTTCCTTCTATCCACAAACCTAAATGATCTTCCCAGACCCTGCTGTCCCCATCCCTGTCTACTTCTACCACCCACCGTTCCAGTCTGGCTTTGCTCCCCTCTGCTGCTGAAACAGGGAGGTGGGAGATGAATCTGCAGAGGTGAGTAGGGCTGGATCATGATGGCTCTGAGTCACACAGCAGGGTTTGAGACCAAAAAAGTTTGTATCATTTTTGTACACTAAGCACTAACCCACATCCTGTTACCAAGTATATGACCAACAGAGGATTGCTGAGCATCATCTTCACTTGCTAGGTGAATAAACAGACCAAAGTTATGCAACTAAAATCCAGAACTTGGATCTTTTCCCACCATGGACCAGGGAAGCCCCAGGACCTCAGGCCCTGATGCCCCAAAAGCCACCTCCAATATCTAAGCACCAACTGCAACCTCCCAACTCTGCCGGGAAGAAGAGCACTGAAGTCATTTGAGATGAGTTCATATAGAATATATTTTACTCTTTAAATATAAAACTTTCAGCATAGCTAACACCTATACAAACTACAAAAATAAACCTCTTCATATAAATAATTTCTATGATAGAAGGTAGACAGGGATACACAGAGCCTACCTGGTGGGTCACCAAGCAGTGGGGGGCTGCGACTGGCCCAGGGTGCTAGAGGGCCCCTTAGGCTTGGTCTGCTTGGAGGGCAGCAGTGAGGGCAGCAGTGGAGGCAGTGGGGGTGGGGAGAGGGGACAACATGCCTTTCAACCCCCCCCCCCCCCCCACCTTTTTTGTCTATTGCCTATTTAATATTCCCCCCCCCCCCCCCCCCTCTTCCCCCCCCCCCCCCCCGTGACACAGGCCCAGGCACTTCTTCCACACATGCTCACATCCGCTCACATCCAGGCTTTCAACCCCAGGCAGAGGCAGACGCATTTGCACACACAGGCCCTGGGACATGCAGGGCTGCTCACAGCCTGGGGTGTCAGTTTTGCATGGGTACCAAGGAGGTCTGTGATGGCTGAGTCAGAGGAGGGGATGCAGACAGCAGCAGCAGCAGGACCCCTCAGAGGTCCATCCTGAATTCAATACCCCAGCCATTGCTTCCCAGGGACTTCATGTGGCCCAAGCAAGGTCTCCAGGCTTCAGCTGCCCTTTCACTCAGTATCTGTACACAGTCCCCTAGAACTGAGGTTGTCGGGGACATAGGCAGCTGGGGTGGCAGCAGAGGACCAAGCAGGCTCCTCCGAGGCTGGGTGGATGTAGGCACCAGGCAGTGGGGGCGGGTGCAGGGCCACGGTCATGGAGGTAGTCACTCTGGCAAAGCTCTGGGGCAGGGTGGGAGATGCGCCCCACCTGAGCCCTCCTTGTGGAGCTGTGGGGCTCAGAATCTCTGGGCTCTCCTTGTAGATCTGTACCACCTGGAGGGAGACACCAGCCAAGTGAGCCCAGAGGCTCCTGGGGCCACAACCCTCCTTTGGCACCTCCCTGGAACCTCACCCCTCCCCATCACCATGACTGTTGGGAAACTGGGGCCCTTGTTGGTCTCCGGCAGGATACCAGAGCTGACAAGGTTCAGGGTGTCAGGTCTGGGGCAAACCCTGCTCCTTGCTTGCAGCCCTGAAAGGCTGAGGGGGGTTCCATGCAGAAACCAGGAGGGCTGAGGGGCAGGACAGGGTGTCTGGGAAAAGGAGGAGGCTGCCATCTTCAGATGGGAAGGGTCCTTGTGAGCTGAGCCCTGTCTGCCAGCCACTGAGGGCATTCTGTCCTGGCTCTGTCCCTTCCCTTGCCTGTCCCCACCCCATGCCCGGGGCTGGGAATGGAGGGAGGGTGTGGTCACCTCTGGCGGGGGACCCAGGATGGACAGCAGCACAGGCAGCAGCACGAGCCCATGGAGGAGGCCCAGGAGTGTGAGGACCGTCAGCACCACGAAGAAGTACCTGGGTGGAGTGGGCTGGTCAGCCTGGGCGGGCCCTGTGCCAAAACCCGCAGGCCCTGCCTCCTTGCCCTGCGCCCTCCCCTACCTTACGATGAAGTCAAAGCTGGAGCCAGCAAGCATGAGCAGACCCAGCAACGTGGAGACGGCCCCATCGGTCACGGGGGCAAACGTGTGCTCCAGGGCCCGGGCGGCCCGCAGGTTTTGGCTCCCCTGGGTGGTCAGGAAGCCCTGGAGGAACAAAGTAGACCTAGGGCTGCTCCTCTGCCAACCTGGGGTCCTGCATGCCCCTGGCCAGCTTATCCATGTCCCCAACTTCTACTCCTCCGTCCCCAGTGCCTCCTTGGCCCACAGAAGGATCTAAGGGCCAGGTGAACTGAGTTTGTGGCAACTGTCCAGGAAGCAGGCATGAACCCGTTTAGGTAACACTGTATAGACGTGTTTGGTAAGCTCAGACACAGAGAGATGTCAAGAAGGGGGGTTCGTAAACTATAGCCTGCCACGTGTTTTTACAAATAAAATTTTGTTGAAACACAGCCACACCCATTCGTTTACCTACTGTCTACGGCTGCTTTTGTGCTATAATGGTAGAGTCGAGGCAGAGCCAAGACAAAGACCTTAAAACCCACGAAGCGCTTTATGGAAAAAGTTTGCCAAGCCCTGGTCTAGAAGGATGATTACCAAAGTGATAATAGTTACTTCTCAGGGTAGTATTTGAGAGGATTTCTAGTTCTTTGTGCTTTTCTACATGCTGTGTTTTTATTCCCCAAGGGAGCTATTTATGGGGTGTGGCCAGGTGTGTGTTGGGTCTTCTGGCTGGTCTGTGGTGCCCACCCCCACCTCCCACTCCTGCCTCTGCCAGAAAGCATGAAGCCTTAGGAGAGTGAGGCTAGCGCCTTCTTCAGTTCTAGGATCTCCGTCTGTAAAATCCTCCTTCAAGCCCACATTGCCATCCAGCTACCACCCCCTTTCTCTGATCCCCTGCACAGCAGAACCATTCAAGAGAACTGTTGGTTCCCACGTTCCCACCTCTCTTCCCGTCCTCGGCCGATTCCAGTCAGGTCTTTGACCCCTTCTCTATACTGAAATGGCTGCTTATTTACTTGTTTACTTGTTTGTTACCTATCTCTAGCTCCTAGAATATAAACTCCTTGAAAATAAACACCGTATTGCTATTAGAGCCCCAATCCTTAGGAATCCCTTGCGTATAGTAGATGCTTGATAAATACCTGTTGGAAACTGAAAGAGCTGACCTCCCCCTCCCCTGGGGGCCTGTGCTCACCAGGGCCACGTGGACCGTGAACTCCACGCCGATGCCTACAGAGGCCACGAGTATCACCACGGGGATGGCGCTCAGCTTGATGCCCAGGAAACCCATGATGCCAAAGAGCTCCACAGTCATCATGGCCAGCACCAGCACCTGGGGAGGGCAGGGCTCAGCCAGGGCTCCTGGGAGGAGGGAGGACGGAGGACCACTGGGTCTCTGACCCATCCTGTAAGTACTCACTATGAGGCCAGCCATCCAGGGGTTGAGCAGCAGCAGGGCACAGACAAGGAAAGTGCACACCAGCAGGATGCAGACGGCCAGCAGGAAGCAGCGCCGGAGGCCCAGATACTGCTCCCAGAAGAGGAAGGGGGAGCCGCTGGGGTAGGCGCGCACCCCAGCCCGGCTTGCCTCTGCGCATGCTGCCCGGGCCCCCTCAATGGCCTCCACAAAGTCTGCTGTCTTCTGGAGGCCGCGTAGCAGGAAGGGGAACTGGGCAAACTCCAGGGGCTGGGCCGCCGGGACTGTGGAGGGGAGGGGAAAGCAGGGCGAGACGGGTGGCAGTGAGCATAGGTGGCCGAGCAGGGCAGGGGCCTGTATGGGCTGGGGCCGAGGCTCTCACTGGGTGCCCCAAGGACTCACTGCGAAAGTTCTCCCCGGTGGTGTCGTACTTGTCATGCAGCCATTCAGGGGGTGGCGGGTAGAAGTTGGCCTGTGAGGCTGCCAGACCCAGGGGGTCACTGCTAACCCACACAGTCAGCCCCACGTAGAAGAGCTCCGGGGGAATCAGGCCCTCCTTGTCCACTAGCTTCCTTGTGGTCAGCTGCAGAGGCAGAGAGGACTGAAGGCGGGTGCAGGCCCCAGCAGCCTGGTTTGTGAGGCCTAGCGCCTCGCTGGGCTCCCTGGCCCTTCCAGCCCTCTCCCAACCTGGCTGAAATCCAGGGGCTCTTGGGCATCCCCGGTCTGGATGAGTAGCTTGTAGGCCAGGGCCCCATCCTCTGAGCCATTGCGGTAGGAGTGGCGGGTAATGCGCCCAGAAGCCCAGTCCTGGTCAAACGCAGCCTGGATTCCTGGGGGAGCAAAGCAGAGGGGATGGTCAGCCTGTGGACCTGGCGACTTCTCCCTGCAGCACCCCTCCCTGCGGTCCTCTCGCCTCTCACCCTCTAGCCAGTTGCGGTAATAGTGCAGCCAGGTGCGGGGTGCCTGGGTGGCTGGCGGGGGCAGCACGGCCTTGAGGGAACTGAAGTGCTGGTGTAGATCAAAGAGGGCGCGTTGGGAGTGGGCGTAGTCGAAGCCACCCTGGGTCACCAGGGCCACCTCATACAGGGAGAAGTACCTGAGCTGGGCGCTCAGGAAGGCATGTTCCTTGGTGCCCCGAGGCACCACATCGGTCAGGGCCAGGCCATCCTGCACCAAGGTTGCTCCGTAGAGGCTCAGGCCCAGAAGAGCCCCAAAGAGCACCAGCACCAGGGCCTGTGGGAAATGGCAGCTAAGCTGGAGGCCTAAGGAGGCCATGCAGCCCTCTGGTGGTGGGCCAGGTCCTCTGCCCTCCTTGGGGCCCAGAGACACTCAAGCCTCTACCCAGCCCCATCCCATCCCCTCCCCAGGCCTGAAGTCTTACCTTGGTGTGTAATTGGAGCAGCAAGGGTGCAAACTGATAGCGGGCGAAGTGGGCAAGATTCCAGTGGGCACAGGGCAGGGACCTGCAGGCCACCTTCTGCCTTGTCCCCTCCTCCTGGCCTAGAAGGTCCCGTGTGGACCCTCCTGGGCTGAAGAGCTCAGAGCCCAGTGGGTCAGAAGGTGGGGGTGCCAGGTGGGCTTGAGGAGGCAGGATGGTGACCATATGCTGGCTGCTTGCATCACAGTGGGTAAAGGCTTGAACCGTGGCAGTCAGGTGGGCAATGCCCACTGGGACTGTCCTGTCTCCCAGCTCCTGGGGTAGAATCTGAATCACTCGAGCAGAGCAGGGGCTGGAAGAGGCAGAGATGGGATGACACACTCATGCCTTGAAATGCTGGTAGGGGACAGGCTGGGAGTGGGTCAGGGGTCAGGCTGGGAGGGGGTCAAGAAGACCTGGCTGGGGTGGGGGCTGTGGGGACAGTACCTAGGAAAGCAGCAGAGCACATCAAGGCGCTGGCAGTGGCGCCGGTGCAGGTCCAGGCTGAGGATGGCTGGGAAGACAAGCATCACGGCTGCAAAGTTGCAGCCAACCACTATGGCTGCCTGGGGGTGGACAGGAGGGGCACAAAGGCTGGATGAAGCCTGCACAGTGCCAAGCCCACCCTAAGCCCAGGCCCATTTGTGAGGCCTCACCTGCAGGGAGAAGGCCCGCAATGCAGGGATGGGCACTAGGGCCGCCATGAAGAAGGCAACCATGTTATTGATAGACGTGAGTGTGACGCTGGTGCCCGTGCGTTGCAGACATTTGCCCGTGCGCTCCTGCAGGATGGGGCGGGGGGCAGGGACGTGCCCTCCAGTTACAGGGGCGCGGAGGCCATGGGTCTTTAAGGTAGGGTCATGCAGAGGCTCAGGAACTTGGGGTGGTAGAGGTGACACAATACTAACACAGCAGCAAACATTTATTATCAAGTATGCGTCACGCACTGTTCTAAGCACTTGTCCTGCGTTGTCTCACTGAACACACACAACAACCCTTCTGACACAAACACTGTTATTATCCCCTTTTACAGATGAGGAAACTGAGGCACAGAAAGGTTAGGTACCAGTCCAATGTCACTTGAGCCATGAGGCTCTTAACCACTCTGCTGAGCTGGCTCATGAGCACAGGCTGGAGGATGAGGACTCACCTGGAGAGGGGTGCCAGGTGAAGCCTCCGTGAAGGCATGTGCCAGCAGGAATATGTCATCCACACCGATGCCCAGCGCCAAGAAGGGTAGCACCTGAAGGGGTAGAGGGGTGGGCAGCTGGAGGGACTGTGCAGTCTAGGCTGTCAGCACCCAAGTCTGCCCTGTGGCCCTGGTGTACCTGGGTGGTGGCAGCATTGAAGGCAAGGCCGAGCAGCGCGCAGAGCCCGAGGCCTGAGGCCACGGCCAGGGCCACCAGCAGCACCCCGGCCAGGCCCACGGCACCCTGGGACTGGGCACAGTCCCACCGCAGCATTGTCACGCAGGCATACGCCAGCTGTGGGAGACAGGGCACATCTTGGACAGGGGTTCCCAGTGTGGGCACTGGTGAAGGTGGGGGTAAGGTGCCAGGGGCAGGACCCACCATGAGCAGATAGCCTCCCACCACACGGGCAGCACTGACTTCAGAGAAGGCATGCAAGATGTCATCCAGGGTGGTGGAGGAGAAGGCATGGATCTGCTGGGTCGTGTTCTCCGGCAGGGCCTCCTGAGCCAGCTGGAGAGACAGGGTGGGTTTGAGCAGGTGGAGGAGGAGTGGCCTCAGGGCAGCCCCTGGGCCGTGTCCACACTGACCTGCACAAAGCGCCGCTGCCAGGCCTGCAGCACAGTGCTGGCCTGCTCCTCGCTCCAGCCAATGTCGTGCGTCTGGTAGTCACCCCGGAAGTGCTCATACAGCTGGCGGGGACTCATCAGCAGGAAGGTGCTCTGCAGGGCCTCTGCCCTGGTGAGGGTGCAAGGAACTAGGGGTCAGAGCTGGCCCCATCATGGGGGTGGGGGTACAGGGGGCTTCTGCCAGAGTTGCCTGGTACCTGAGTGTGGATTCCCATGACTGAGTCTCCTCACCAACTCCCAAGGGCGGTCCTACCTCAGCAGCTGTCCTTGGGGGTCTCTGGCCATGCCCCCCAGCAGCAATTCCTCCTGCCAGCGCATGAACTTGTGGGAGAAGCCGTGGCAGCCCCCGCTCAGCTCCTGAGCCACGTTGGGAGCCTGGAAAGGGGAGGTAAAGGGGTCTATTATTCAAGGCCCTGGCTGTGGATAACAGGGGTCCCCGGGCTTACACCTCCGGGAACCATTTCTGCCACAGAACCCCGGAGCCTAAAGGGTAGATAACCATTCTGAGCCTCTTGTCTACTCTGGGACCAGCTAGTGTCTTGTAAACAGTTGGCCACAAGAGGGCGCAGAGGCCTGGAAATTAGAAATAGGCTGTTGGGAGGCGCTGGCATAACTTTGGTGGGTTTTAAGGAAGGTTACCACGATCAAAGGGCCACATGGACACTTGGGAAATTAGGTACGACATTAGTGCTTAGCTAATTTGTAGTTTCCCTGTACAAGTTTATTGTGATAAAGTCCAGCGTTGTCTGGAACTCAAAGTTTCCTTAGCAGCACTGAGTGGAAATGGAACATTGTAGGTGTCTGGTACCTGGGGCAGGGTAACAATGTCCAGGAAACGGGGGGCAGAGCACAGATAACAACCCACTCTTCTCCAGAACAGAGGAACATATGAGGAGGGTAAAGGAAAGAAAACAGCCCCTCCCTGGCCGAGCTGGGCTGGAACCCACCTGCCTGCTGTGATGGTTAGGGGCACTAGGTGGGCAGTGGAGGTCATCAGGGTGCAGGCAGGGCCGCCCCACATAGGCCTGGCCCACCTGCGCCTTGTCTAGCAGCTCCCGGAAGCTCTCAAGGGAGGCAAAGGGGCCCAGCTCCTCTAGCAGCTGCTCTGGATCCAGATTGGTCCACTGGATATCGGGGTGGCCCCTAGGGGGAGAGCCCAGGGTGGGTGAGGATCAGGGCTCAATTTCTATCCTTCGCACTGCTGCTGTGAGGACCCATGCCATACCCCACCTCCTTCTATCTGTTCATTTGTCTCAGCGCCCCAGAACTCCCAGGCTGTACCCGCCCACTAGGTTGATGCTGTGAGCTGTGGATGGACACGGGCTGAGATAGGCGTCAGGACAGACAGTGCTTAGTACACAGAAAGGGCCCAGAAAAGCCCCTGAGTCTCTTCCCAAGCCATCTACCCTTGGTTCTAATACATAACCTATAACAGGTTTTCTTTCTGGCCTGGGCGATAGTTTAGCTGATACCTAGCTAACTTTCTCCACAGAATCTCTTTCTCAGATCTTACGGATCTCCGTGTGTTGTCTAAATCCTGGGAGTGTGGAAAGCGGGGAAGTGGACAGAGTCTTGGGTGGGCCAATGCTCTGATCCTGGCCTGGGAGGGAATTAGGAATCTGGATGGTTTGGAGCATCACCTTACTCCCACCCTCTCTGCCAGGTAAATCCCGCACAGGAGCCGAAGCAGGGCCCCAGGAGCGGCTGTGGCAGCACTCACGGTAGGTAGGCAGAGCCCCCTTGGAGCTTGGCTCCCTCCCAGAAGCAGTCAAGGGGGGTGAGGATCACGCACGGAAACAGCTTCTCGATCATCTGTCAGGGATACCCCAGGACACATCAGTCCTGCCTCTGGGTTCCCTTCCCTGCAACCTTTGTAGGATGCTCTCTGTAACACCCTCCCCCCGCAGCACCCCTTAGCCTCCCAGAGCCTCTCTGAGCCCTCCCTCACTGGAGAGAGGGTTCCACCTCTACCCTGTCTCAGGGGACAGCTCAGGATACTCACTCGCTCAATCATTCCATTTTCAATGAGGGGAATTCCTGACTTGTAGCAGATTTTGTTTAAATCCCAGGACCTGGAACAGCCAGGGGCACAGGGGATCAGCAGAAGAGGGGGATTCTCACTGCAGCCTTGCCAGAGCACCCCTCACCCCCAGCTGCAGAGGCTCTGCCACTCACTTTCCATAGAGTGAGACTTGCACTTTGCTGGCTATGAGGGCTGCCTGGAGGTGGAGGCCGAGCGCCTCTGGCGTGAGGACATTCTCCCCCTCCTGGCGCGCAGTCTGTATCAGCATCTGGGAGGTGTACGCAGCCTCCTCCCCCAGCTTCTCCTTGGTGTAGTGCAGCTCCTGGCTCACCCTGCTGCCCACTGCCAGAGACAGGAGAGAGGGCTGTGGGGAAGGCACCTCAGTGGATCAGAGCTCTGGGGGAGATGGAATGTCCACTCACTGAGGCCTCCCAGGACAAGTGGGACAAGCTGCTAAGAGGAGCCCCTGCCTTCTCTCTGCTGGCCCTGTCACAGACAAGGCTGGACTCCCCAAGTCCCTGCCCCTCTGTTCAGAATCTGGAGCTTAGCCAGGGAAGAAGGGGAGAGGCCCCAGCTGTGTAGCTCTATGGTCCTCTTTTGTGGGCTGAGGATTTAAGCATGAACCTGGTTGGCTAGGTTTGGGGCACAGAACTTAAAAATGAGAGATCAGCATGAGCTGGGCAGGGCTGGGGTTATGGGGGTGTCCTGGTAAGGGAGCCCTCACTCAGGCCCTCTATGGTCTGGTGGGAGGACAAGAAGGCGGAAATGGGCCAATATGGAGGCTGCCACTGGGAGGGTTTCCTAAAAGACTATGTCTAGGGCTTAGGCTGGTTCCTAGTTCAGGCTGCCCCAACCAGTGATTTATAGCCACATAACTATTTTTCAAACTGTTCTGGAAAGAGGGTAGGGATGGGAGTGCCTGTCATAATGGGCCCTGTGTGGCACTGGCAAGGGGGAGGTCTGACAGCCTGTCAGTTGTGATGCTGTCAGTATACTGCTTCACTCAGTCAAGAAGTACAGAGAATAAGCTCACTTACCCCGGCAGAGGTGAAATCAAAGTGGGCCAAGGGGAAGAAGGGTTCCAGATAAGTTCCTTTCACCAGCCTCACTGCCCAGACAATGAGGAGGCCCAGTGCTAGGCCTGCCTTAGTCTCCTTTATCTTAGAGTCCCTCAAGTTCTGCCTTATGTAGGCCACGAACTCATGCTCTGTAACTGGGGCCTGGTGGATGTGGGACACTGTGAAGGTAAGACCTGACTATGACTTGGAGGAGGGCGAGGGCCAGAGGCAAACCCACCCCTTAAGTCTTTGTGGTCTGGTCTCAGACCCAGTCTGCTCCCATCTCTCTGGAGGCCTCTTCCTGTTGGTCACTGCCACCCTCTGGCACCCACATGAACCGCTTCTCCAAGACTCTGGCCCCATCCTGGATCATCATGCTCCCCAACCCCTAGTGTTTTTCTCAAACCAGCATAATCTCACTCATGAGAGCCCCAAACCCTTGGTAACCCTCCCAACCCAGATTTGCCCATATTCTCACTCCTCCTCCAACCCAAGTCACATTCCTGGCCCTCCCCTCATGAATATTGCCTCACACAGCCATTTGGTCCACCTCTATTGTCAAATCCCATCTACTCTTTTTCTTCCTTCCCTGTCCACACACTCCTTCCCCAGTCTTTACTGCAGTGATCATTTCACCAGTCCTAGGCCAGAGGCTGCTGTGGAGGGAAAGGAGGGGAAAGCAGAGATAAACTCCCCACAGTAAGTGGGTTTCCCGAGGGGAAGGAAGCATGGGAGAAGGAAGGAACCCAGATAAATTTAATAAGGAAGCAAGAGAAAGAAACACTGAGAATTTAAAATACAAATTCAAAGAGAATAAGGAATCCTCACAGAAAAAAAGTGAGGAAGAGAAACAGATAAACCTCGCTGACAATGACGATAACAGACATGCTGGGATGTATTGTGTAGGCAAGAAGAAACACAGGCTCTGTACACACAGACCTGGCTTTGAGCCCCGGCTCTAACACTTATTCTGTGCCTTCAGCAAATTACTTCGTCTCTCTGCGCCTTGATTTCCTCATCTGTAAAATGGGGACAATGCCTACTTTGGTGGGTTACTGTAAAATTAGAATCAATGCAGGCGAAGTACTTAGGGTGTTGCTTGGCACATATTAGGTACAGGTAGGAAGTTACTATTCAGTGATTGGTGGGAGAGAAATGACGTGATGGAAGAATGAGAATAGACTGGGGGGGAAAAGACGGTAGGTGAGAGGGGAGGAAATTGGAGATTGGGGAAGGAAACACAGAAAACAAAACATTTGTTAGAAACTTTTGTGCCTTTACAAAAGGGAAGATATAACTGGCTAACCAACATAGAAAAATATTCAACCTTATAGGTAATCCTGTAAATGCCAATTAAAACAACAATATATTGTCATCTATGAAATTGGTAAAGATAAAAAAATGATAGCACCCACTGCTGGCTTACAGGAGTGCATGCGAACCCACCACTGGAGTGTAATCTGGTACAATTTTGGGGGAAAAGCAATATGTAACAAGACCCTCAGAAATGTCCCTCATCTTTGGTCTAGAAATTTCCCAAGTAAGGCCCTGTAACCTACTGTAGGTACTCAGGCTTTATCTGAGTGAAAGGGAGCCATGGCAGGTTTTGAGAAGAGGAGTAACCTCATCTGATTTTTTCATCACAATATACTCTGGTGCTGAGCAGAGTCATGAATGAACAGGAGTTGGTCAGGGGAAAAAGTCAGGGAAAGGTGTTCTGGACGGAGTGTGTGCAGGGAACTGTCTAAGGCTCAGTGCTGCCGGACTGGTAAGAGTGAGGCGGGGAGGAGCCAGAGAGAATGCTGGAGAAGCAACTGAGAGCTCGATCACAGACAGCCTAGAATGTGTGCACAGGTCCCTGGGTGAGCAAACAGTGGTTAACGTGCTTGGTTGCTAACTGAAAGGTTGGAGGTTGGAGTCTACCCAGAGGGGCCTCTGCAGAAAGGCCTGGCAATCTACTTCCAAAAATCTATGGAACACAGTTCTACTCTGACCCACATGGGGTCACCATGTGTCAGAATCGACTTGGGGACAACTGGTCTTTGTTTATTTTCAAAAAGTGTGTAGGAGCTTGGACTTGATTCAGGAGATGCCACAGTCCTGGTAAGAAAGCAGTGAAAGGGTTCTAAGCAGGTGACTAACTGGGCCAGATTTAGACACACCACAAGGAGGCAGTGTGGAGGCGGATTTGAAGGCAAGGCCTAAGGAAGCTGGTTCACCCAGATTTTGTTGGCCATCCTCTGAATGGTTTTGAGATTCAGGGCAGCTGCTACTGCCCTCCCCTCCCCACCAGCCTCATGGGGTGAAACTTGATTAGTCTAAGGAGCCAATCACGGTAATTCCATTGCCTTTGCCAAGGGAAGGATTTAGGCAAAAGATGCTGCACAATTTTTGCCAGAGAGATTAAATGGGAAGTTTGCTGTGGGGCTTCTGGTAAATTCTTCCTCACTTTCACAAAGGGATGAAGACAGGAATGGTTTCCCTTTTCCACCACTGCAGCAGCCACCTTGGGACAAGGTGATAAGTCTGAGGACAAAAGCCCAACATGCTAAAGATGACCTAGGGGAAAGAGAGAAAGAACCTGGCTTCTTGCTGATATCCTTGGGTTGCTGAATTAACCATCCTGGACCTGCTCAACTGTCTACTGCCAGACTTCTTATTATCCTCCTGTTATAGAGGATAATGAATCAATTTGCTTCCTTTCTTTTTCATGCGGCTAAAAGCATTCTAAACAATACCGTCAGGAGTATATTGACAGAGATTGAAAAAGGCCTTAACTGGTGGAGAGGATTGGTCTGGTATAAGACAGCTTAACCAGATGCTGTCATGAGTCGGTTCTGACTTATGGTGACCCCATGCCATGAGTTGAACTGTGCTCCATAGGGTTTTCAATGGCTGATTTTTCGGACGTAGATTACTGGGCTTTCTTCTGAGGCGCCTCTGGTGAACTAGAACCTCTGACCTTTTGGTTTGCAGCTAAGCGTTTTAACCATTTACACCACCCAGGGACTCCATGAGAGAGCTTAAGAAGGAAGAATTTATGATTTTAGTAACGAACTAGGTGAGCGAGAGGAAGAATTGAGGCTGACTCCCAGGTTTCTGCCTTGGGTCCTTGACTGGATGGTTCCACCAGCTGATATGTGCCCATCCCCTGCCTTCTAAATAGAATGGCTAGCTGTTCCATATCTTCAGAGACAGTTCCAATTTCAAACAGTCTCTATCACTGTTCTTTTAAGTACTAATTGGGCTATACGTTCTGATTTTTATTTTAGAAAACAATCTACCCTTAAGCCCTTTAGCTTTAAAGTGGATCAGGAAAGACCGCATATCACATCCCAAGTCCACCACTGCAAAGCAGAAGAGGACCCTGAATTTTGGCCCAGAACTCTGATAGCCAAAGCCCTGTTTCTTCCTCCCCTTTGTGTGTTAGTAAAATGGCAAAAAATGGCAAATACCCTTCAGTCCTCACCTTGATTAGCTCCTCACTGCCTAGGGCATTAGGGGGTAGAAGGGAGAAGCCTGGCTACAGAGAAAATATCAGGTCAAGATTATTGCTTTTACCCCACTCCCAGCCTTAGCCAACACAGGGCAGAAAGATATTCTGAAATACAAAAGAAAGGCCTAGGAACTGGCTACCACCCTCCCCTAAAACAACAGCAAAAATCTGGTGAGTCTAGTCTGTCCTGTGCTGGAGTGTAGAAGAGAAGATGAGGAAACATGAAGGTTCCAGCAGTGTTTAGATGGGGAAGATCTGGGGAATGGGGAAGGAGGAAGGAGAGGGAGGCCACCTCTATTGTGGCAGGAAATCCAAGAGTCATTTGGGACCACCCAAGCAGCAGTGGTGTGGGTGGGGGTGTCTGTGTGCATGTATGCACATGTGTGTCCTGGGGCTGGGGGCAGGCAGGCAGGCACAGAGAAGCATCTGCTGCAGACCCCAGGGCTGGCCTAGAGTGTATATGTATGTGAGAGTCTGCAGAGGCTGGGGGTAGGGCGGGGATGGGGTGTGGGAGCCCAACAGGCAGGCAGGCAGGCTCCAAGAAACATCTGCTCTGGATCCTAGGATTTGCCAGCATTTGAAATAACTTAAGGGTGTGAGCCTCCAACCTGGGCCCTGCCTTTGGTTGTGGGCCAGAGCTGGGGGAGGTCTGGGGAAGCCCACAATGCAAATTTCCCAGGGAAGAAGACAGGGGAATTCAACTTTGTTAAAAGGCTGCCATATGAAGCCAGGCCCCAGGAAAGAGTCATGCTGAAAATATTAACAAGAATTATTCTTATCTAATGCTTCCATTAGGAAGTAAGGCTTTGGTCCCATCTGACCCTGGCTGTTGCCTCGAAGCTCAGGTCCTGTGCTGCTTTTCCACTAAATAAGTCGTCATCCCTCTCCCTGAAGGACTAAAAAAAAAAAAAAAAACCCAAACCCATTGCCATCCAGTCGATACCAACTCATAGTGATCCTATAGGACAGAGTAGGACTGCCCCATAGAGTTTCCAAGGAGTGGCTGGTGGATTCGAACTGCCGACCTTTTTGTTAGCAGCTGAGCTCTTACCCACTTTGCCACCAGGGCTCCAATCCTCCAGTCCTGGAGGACTAGCCAGATGATTTACTCAGTTTCCTCGCCTTCTAGGCCTAACTTTTCTGATTCTCCTGGTCTTACCTTCTCTTATACAACATTATCACATCCTGCTTTGTATTATTCTAGTTATCCTGGCACAGATTTGATTTTCCTTGCTAAAGTGTAACCTATTAAAAGATAGGTCTTGTTTTAGTTTTTAGTTGCCTCTGTAAACTGTGCTGTGCTCCCAAAAATACATATAAAGGATTGATAATAACTGCTAAATAAACACACATAATCACAGATAAATATTCTGTATACCTATTCACAGGATTTCACCATCTGCAGATGTCCATTTATGGATGTGGGAGGGAGGGGTGCCCCCAGATGCCCAAGCTCTGGCTGGCAGATGCTCCTCCAGACCCAGGGCCAGACCTACTAGGGCTCAGGAGCCAGCTCTTACCCTTTTCTTGTTTTGGGCTCACCATACCCAAGCCAGCTACGCAGTGCCCACATCTCACCTTCTACCCAGAGCTGCTCCAGGTCTGTCTCAATGATGGCCCCACGGAGACCCAGCGCCAGGGCCCCAAAGGCCAACAGTCCCAGGAAGAGCACTTTGCCAGAGTGTCTCTGGATCCCGCAGCCCAGAGAAAAGAGCAGTCCCTGGAAGTAAGTACGAAGCCAGAGAGGAGCCTTCAGGCTTCCAGCTAAGGTCTGGAATGAATGGAAAGAGAAGGGTTAGACAGGCATCACTACAACAATGCATGAAATCCTTCCCTTTGCTCCCTACATTCTCCCTTTGACAAGTTTGCCCCTACCGTCTTGATTTCTGGATGCCGTTCAGGAGCACCAACACTGACACAAGCCCAAACTTGATGATTTAGAGCCTCCTGCCCGCCACGTGAGAAAGGCACAGGCCCGTTTTCTGAGAGTAGGATACAGATGTACAGTTACCTGTTCCCAAGTGGACAGAGGCGAAGCTACAGACACACTCAAACTCTGTTTGGCCAGACACCGAGAAGACGGTCTCATACGCACTCACGAGCTCTCTCACCTGTTCTCAGACAGGCACCCGTGAACACGAGACTTACAGACATCACATTTTGTAGAGGCTCGAGTAATAGACCTGGGGTCTCCAGGCCTGCTTCCTAATCTTCCTTCTTCCTGGCTTCCCCCTCCACTCACCTGGGGAGCTGAAGTTCGATCTGGGGGTGCGTAGCTGGGGGGCAGCTCCCCGAGGGGCGGCGGCCGAGCCATGTTGGTGAGGATGGGGGCGCAGGCGCCCCCAACCCGCATTATCTGGGCGCCCCCATAGTGTGAACAGGCTGGTGTGGTCCCTCTGCGTCGCCTGCCCGGCGTCAGGACTCAGTGGGACCGCGAAGGCGACGGTGTGGGTGAGGGCGGCGGTGAGCCCGCTGGTGCGATGTGCAGCGGCTGCGGTGAAAGGGCGGCGTGCAGGACGGTGCGGCCGGGTCACAGCGCCGAGGGTCGCCCGCAGCCAGAGGAACAGTGGAGCCCGCGGGTCGGCCGTCAAGCGGAGCTACCGGCCCGGGATGCCCGGCGCGGCTCGAGGTGGCGATAGCACTAGAGTGCGGCCGCTGGAGCCCAGAAAAAGGGAACGGGTCGGGGCGGCGCCCTCCTATTGGCTGAGGGGCCAGCAAATTACCCGGAGCCGCGAGGCCGGAGCCGCTGCTAGGCAACGGCGCCTCAGTGGGGGACGGGGCGGGAGACCACCCAAGCAGGGCCACGCCTCTCCTCGCGGCCTCGCCCGCCCGCCCGCGGGGCCCTCCGGGAGGAGGAGGGAGAGAGGTCCCAGAGAGGCACGGCGCTGAACAAGTATAAGTCAGGAGGGGCTGTTGCTGAGAAAGGGGGTGTGTCGGCCTCCGTTAGGGCCATACTTCCTTTCCGACCCAGCCAAGACCCGAAGACTTTTCTCCTTTCACTCTTTCCTGCCTCGATTCTTGCCCCCTTCAAGTCACTCTCTCCACTGAGACCAGAATCATCTCTCTAAAATGCAAATCTGATGATACCACAGCTCCAAAGACCAAAGCCCACTTGGATCACAGGGCCCTGCACGATCTAACTGCAGCCTTCTCTCTCCCACAGTTCCCTCACACCTACCCCAATGTTTATTCCAGCCCTGTAGAGCTATCTGTAATTTCCTAAACACATCATGTTCAATGCGTTCCTGCTTTTGTACATGTTGTGGCCTTTCTGTCTAGGAGGCAACTTTCACAACTGAACTTGTATCAGTTACTCCCTCTTTGAAGCTTTCCTTGATTCAAGCTTCCCTCCTGGCGGCTAGTTGCTTCTTTTTTTATACTCCTTGTTGTTAAGTGCCTTGGAGTCTGCCCCCACTCATGGCAACTTCATGCACAACTGAAGGGAATGCTACCCTGCCCTGCACCATCGCAATGATCAGACCACTGTGATCTATAGCGTTTTCACTGGCTGATTTTTGGAAGTAGATCACCAGGTCTTTCTTCCTAGTCCTTCTTAGTCTGGAAGCTCTGCTGAAACCTGGTCAGCATCAGAGCAACACGCAAGCCTCCAGTGACAGACAAGAGGTGGCAGTGTGATGAGACAGATTGGCTGGGAATTAAATCCAGGTCTCCCACATGAGAAGCAAGAATTATACCACTGAACCACCAATGCTCTCTGTAACACTCTGTAATCCTCCTTATTACACTGTATATATACTTGATACTGCAGTTATGACACAGTAATTTATGTATTTGCTTGCAGGTCTGTCTCTCTCATTAGATAGTAAGTGTGTTATGCTGTGTGCTGAGAGTTGATTCTGACTCATAGCAACCCTATAGGACAGAGCTGCCCCATAGGGTTTCCAAGGCTATAATATTTACAGAAGCAGATTGCACACTTTTGTCCTGAATTCTACCACTGTCCTCTAATAAAGGGAATTGTTAGGTACTGTTGAGTCATTTTTTGACCGATAGTGGCCTAATAGGAGCCGTGGTGGTGCAGTGGTTAAATGTTCGGCTGCTAACTGAAAGGTTGTCAAGTTTGATCCCACCAGCTGCTCCATGGGAAAAAGATGTGGCAATCTGCTTCTGTAAAGATTACATCTTTGGAAACCCTATGGGGCAGTTCTACTCTGTCCTATAGGGTCGCTATGAGTCGGAATCGACTCGAAGGCAATGGGTTAGCGGCCCAATGTGACTGAGTAGACTGCCCATGGAGTTTTCTAGGCTGCAATATTTTTTTTTATATTGTTGTAGTTTAAGTGAAAGTTTACAATTTAAGTTAGTCTCTCATACAAAAATTTATACATACATTATGTGACCCTAAAACTCTCCCTATACTGTGACAGCACTCTTCTCCTTTCCACCCGATTTCCCGTGTCCATTCAACCAGCTTCTAACCCCTCTGCCTTCTCATCTCACCTTCAGAAACTGCCCATTTAGTCTCATGTATCTACTTGAGCTGAGAAGCACACTCTTCACGAGTATCATTTTATGTCCCACAGTCCAGTCCAATCTTTGTCTGAAGAGTTGGCCTTGGGAATTATTTTAGTTCTGGGTTGACAGAGTCTGGGAGCCACGCTTCCTGGGGTTCCTCCAGTCTCAGTCAGATAATTAAGTCTGGTCTTTTTACTAGAATTTGAATTCTGCACCCCACCTTTCTCCTGCTCCATCAGGGACTCTCTATTGTGTTCCCTGTCAGGAATGTCACTGGTGGTGGCCAGGCGCCATCTAGTTCTTCTGGTCTCAGGATGATGCAGTCTCTTGTTTATGTGATCTAGGCTGTAATCTTTATGGGAGCAGACGGCCAGGTCTTTCTCCTATGAGCCACTGGATAGGTTTAAACTGCCAACCTTCCCTTTAGCAGCTGAGTGCTTAACCACTGCACCACCAGGGCTCCCTAATAGAGGAAGAACCAAAAACCAAACTCATTGCCATTGAGTTGATGCTGACTCATAGCAACCCTACAGAACAGAGTACAACTTCCCCCTAGGGTTACCAAGAAGTGGCTGGTGGATTTCAACTGCTGACCTTTTGGTTAGCAGTGTGAGCTCTTAACCACTACAGCACCAGGGCTCCAATAGAGGGAATAGTCCCTCTATTATATTTTCCTCAATTATTCATCTGAGTGTGCTGTTTCTGCTAGATTCCTGACTGGTAAACCCTGACTGGCAGAGGACGGTAAAATCAATATTCTGATACGTGAAGTTGGGAAAGAGAAAAGGAATCTCCAATAAATTCATTACTCTAACACAACTATCATATCTGACCAATTTCTTCCAGATGTTTTTGTTTATCATTACATCATAAACATTTCATGCTACTACAATCTTTGTATCATTTGGAGAATGTCCTTAGGACAGATTCCCAGAAGTGGGGTCGCTGGGTCAAAAACTATGATGGTTCTTGCTACAACATTACCAAACTGCATTCTGAAAATTTGTTCTGGGGGAAGGGAGCCTCTAGATTGAGGAGGTGGGCACCTAACAGGTTTGCCACTTGAATTGGTTCATTCATCCTGCAAAATGCTTGTGGAAGACCTAACATGTGTATGATACTGTGGTGTTGGTCAAGTAGTAAATGCACATTAAAAGCAGGATATATTCATAGCACTTTCTCTCTTCTCTGTGAGATATCGTTTGCCAGAGAATGGCTTGGAATCAGCTCTGGGTATCATCAGGACTGCAAGTAGACCTGCTGTGCTGTAAAAACGCTCTTGAGATCTCCTTTCTTACCAGAATCTGCAAGGCATAAGAAGGTCCATGGAGAAACAGATCTATAATCATCTTGGCCTTGGGATTCTGCTTCCACCACAAGCCCGTCACTGCTAAGTTGTGCAAAGTCCAGCATTTCTATGGATGCTTCCAGGGCAGGGTCTTCCTGCTGAGAAAATCTCTTGCCTTGTAGTCCAAAGACTAGGGTGGGAGAAATTGGTCTGCAGTTCCTGCCTCTCCAACCTAGGGCTTAATGCCCTTTGGCTGCTCCAAGCTCCAAAATGAACTTTCTTCTCCCTAACAAAATGATTTCCTGAGTGCAGCTGAGCTCAGCCAGGGCAAGTTAGGGCCACAAACCCCGGGGAACACGAAGGGGTGTAGAGGCTTCTCTTCTCTCCCTGTAAGCAACCTGTTTCACTGTAGAACATTCTGTTTCACTGTTACTTCCTCCCATTGTACCTGGGCATGTGTTTTGGGCCCAAACCAGAGATATTCTCCAAAGTGTAACAAAGGAGAAAAGTAACCTAATTAAATTCATTATCACTGAGGAGCATATCTAATTATTGACTCATGAAAAAAACATATCTTGGGGTCTCTCATGTGTCTACCCCTGTGTTGAGCTCTGGGGTTGCAGGGCATCTGCTTTCTAGGAGCTCACATCCTCAAGAGGAGGCTGACACATACCCAGACCTAATGGAACAGTACAAGGAGGCTTCTGTGGGAGTCAGTATGAAGGGGGAAACAGAAAGGGAGAGGGAAGTTCCTATGAGAGGTGTTCAGAAGTGAGAGGAACTGGATTGAAGAGGTGGGAGGATGACAGAATCTAAAAGACATGGTTTAAGGTCTGGACGCTTCACATAGTGGCTGTGTGATCTTGGGCAAGTCACATAATCTATGACACTGACACAAGTATTAGATAATATATGTGGCTAAGGAAGAATGCCAGGAAAAGTGAGGTAAACACATACACGGACACACAGACATACATGGAAGAAACTGAACAGCTTGGCTTCAGTGGAAGGTCTACATGGTAATCTGTGGAGAAGCCAGGACAGGTCCTCTCCTTGGCCTTCCTCTAGGTTTCTCACTTATCATGCTTTTGGCTGGCCTCCATTATCTGGGCCTCAGCCAGAGTCAATGACCCTGAGATGTGGGGAGGGGCCCTGGGCAGCACCCCACCCCCACCCATTATGTTTATGAGTTGAGCCTTGGAATGTCGCCCCTTCCCTATAGGCAGGAGTCCCTGGGTGGTGCAAACACTAGGCTGATAACCAAAAGGTTGGTGATTTGGAGTCTCCCCAGAGATGCCTTGGGAGAAACACAGGGAGATCTACTTCAGAAAAATCAGCCACTGAGAACCCTATGGAGCATAGTTCTAGTCTGGCACACACGGGTTTGCCATGAGTCGGAGACTACTGGTTCCCTGTAGGCACCTTCAGGCCAATAGCACCTATCATGTCTTTGGTGCTAGAGGTTGCAACCAGAGATCAGAGAATGGCCTTTCACCTTAACAGTAGGGGAAAGAGAGAGGCTAAGACCCAAAGCAGCACCTCCCCATTTGTCTATGGCAGAAAGACCCTGATGCAATCCTCCTGGGTGGTGGCAGACAGCTCAGGTGGAGGACAGGCCACCCTGGCCTCCAGCAGAATGTATTCTTCTGCTCAGCCTCTTTCCTCCTCTGTGGCTCCATTAGAGCTGAGCTTTCTAGACCTTCTGTCTGGGTGGTCCCTCCCACAAGCACGCCCCCCTCTCCTCCAACAAATTTTAACTATTTACAAAGCAGCATACAAAGGCCTGGGTTAGAGTACCCCTTTATTAAGGGTGGAGATGGGTGGATAAAGTGTACTCCCTGCAATTCTCCAGAAGTAGAAAGAAAACAGCCCCTAAACTAGGCTGTAAGACCTCTAGATTGCTCTTGGTGCTATAGCTAAAGACATTTCCTGGCTGTCTCCACTGGGAATTGGAGGCGGATGGGAATAGTAACGGGGTAAATGCGCAGGAAGTTTCGTCTCTGGCCTTGGGAAAAAACTGGAGGGCAGTCTAGGCCGTCAGTCCCCTAACTGCTTCAGGGAGATCTTGCCAGCAGGCAGGTGTGAGGTGTTACTGGGGAAGGGGTTCCTGGAGTAGTAGCTATCCAATTTTGTCTATCTGGTAAGTTCCCAGAAGCTGTTCCTCAACACCTCCCCAGAGTGCTCCGCAATTTGGCATTGAAAGCACCCTTCCTCCTCTCCTCCACCTCTCTCATGACGAGGAGGGGCAGGACGGGCCCTATCCACTCTTCCGGCAAGCCTGGCTCTTCCGGTGTCTATTTCATGGAGAGGTGGCTTGCCAGTGGACTTTCAGTTGCTCACTGTATTTCAGACATACTTAAGCCCTCTGTAGCAGCCAAAAGGAAACAAAAACTGTCCCTGCCTTTCTGCAGACAAATAGAGCAATGAGAAGAAAAATCAAAGAATCATGGGCACTCCGCCAGTCCTGAAGTTGTTGGAGGCAAGAGAAGCAGTGTCCTGAGCTGGGGGCTACTCCCAGCTAGGACCCAAACTCAGCAAGGCCTTCCCCTGGGGAGCCCTTACCTGTTCTGTCTTCTCCAGCTCCCTCTTTTCCTTGGTGCCAGGGGCTGCTGATGGGCTTGTGCAAGGGGAAGGCAGAAGAGAGGCTTTTCCTCTACCTCACTGTCAGGGGTTCCCAAGGCTCAGTGGGAAAGGCTAGGAAGGGGTCTAGGAGGGCTGTGGAGCAGTTTAATCATTATTCTTTCCTTCCCCGCCCCACCTTCCCTCCAAACCTACCAAGCTCTATCCCCTTTCTGAGGTCGAGAAGCAGCCTTCTGGCCTCTTGGGCCACCTAGACCCCAAGGACTACCAGCCTTGGACTTTCTGAAAAAGGGGATAATAACTAAGAATGGGGAAGGCCTTTAAAAGTCATTCATTCCAACTTTTCCATTTTGCAGATGGAACAGAAACAGAGATATAGTGACTTGGCCAAAGCCCAACAACATTCCAGAGGCCAGGTCTTCTCCCACCCAGCCCAGGACTCTGTACCCAGCATCATCTGGCCCTACAAATTTAATTTCAGTTCCTGAGGAAGGCCAAGGCCTGGTCCATCTTGGGTACCACCACAACTCTTTCTTGTCCTTCTCAGAATAGTTTCAACCCCTTCAGCTGGGCTGTGTCAGCTCCTGTTTGATTAAACTTCCAGGAACCTTGTCCTAACCAGTGGGAGGAATGTGGAGCGCTAGAGTTCCCAAGAAGCCTAGTGGGGGTGGAGATCCCCCAGGGTCAAATGCTCATCTAGTCTCTCACAAGCTCAATGAGAACACTAAGATCAGGCCAAATTATGCAAGTGACTTGAGAGCCCTGAGATTTTTGAAGCAACGTAGAAACCAGTATTTCAAATCATTCTTTATAATTACTGCCACCCACAGTGAGGACATCAAGAGAAACCTTTACTTTGATAATTCTAGGAGGTGAAATCTCACTCCAGGAGCCACTTTTATCTTCCACCAAACACCTGCAGGTTATAAAATCAGTGCAGGGAGGCGCAAGAGCAGAGTGTGTGTGTGTGTTTGAGAGGGGGGTTGGTGGATGGAAGGTGGATAGGACTGTAAATATGGAAATCTCATTTCTCAATTATCTGAAGCAGGAGAGGCTGCATAATTAGTAAATAAAGGAGTGCAGCTGGCGAAGAGTCAGAAAAAATATCAAACCATGAGACAGGATCCTGGCTCTTCCTTACCAGGTTTGGACAGACCTCACTAAGGGGAGGTGGGGAGGGGTCTTCCTTCTTAGACAATGGCTCTCCTTCACTGCTCTGGCCTCCACTAAAACCTGTGGGGATAGGCTTGGTAGCTAGGCAGGGGTTGCCTCTTGCTTGCTTTAAAAGTCTCCAAGGGACAATAGTTGAGCTGGACAAGGCGGCTAGAGACTGAGGGGGAGGACAGGGAGTGAACGGTGGGGGCTAGGGAGCGATGGTAGAGGGCTGAGAGCCTGGGACCTGTGTGGCAGGTATGAGAGCAGGGGGTGGCGAGTCCTGGGCTGAGGCTCAGGGGCTAGGCTGCCCAAACGCAGCAGCTGCAGAGGGAAGAGCATGTGTAGAAGTGGCACTGCCAGCAGCTAGGCCTATGGGTCAGGGACAAAAGTACTCCCAGGTCCTTTTAGGTGAGAGATGCTTTAAGGACCAGGCTCGGCCAGTCAGTCAGAAAGCTCCCTCTCAGGAGGTTTATCACTGGACAGCTGCTGCTCCAGCCTGATAACCTTGAGAGAGAAGAGCCAGGCTATTGTGTCCTATTCTGTTCCACACACTTGTCCAGATGGTCTTTACCGTGATCCATGAGCACACACTGTGTACCCCTGGAGCTCACCTGACATGGAGCTTTGGACTGCTCCATGAGTCTCCAACATGCCTTTGGAAGGCCCTCTTTTTATTGGAAAATAAATACAGAGTCAAACAGGTGGGCAGCCAATATCTTTTGGGGGCCAAAATAAGGAGTATGACTTCTTCAGAACTCAGATCTCCATGAGCTGGTCACTCCCCACGATCACCTCGTTCACTCGTTTGGCTACAAAAGAAAAGGAAAAGATTTTCTAAGAACTGGCAGCAAAAAATGTCATTTCAAACCCAACAAACATTTATTCCTCTCCTATTGTGGTTCCGTTCTTGAGAGGTTCTTGAGCATACAACTTGCTAACGGGGCTATGGGAGAGGCAGCATCTCCCACATAGGAGGTTGGGACTGACCCTCTATACACCTGGCTCTATACACCTAGGAGGGGAACTGGAGCTGGGTCTTAAATGCATCTTGAAGGACGAATAGAGTTTTTCCAAGTAGTGAATCAAAGGGAAGGGATTACAGGCTGTTAGAACAGCATGAGCTGGAGGTGTGAGAATGGAGAACATGAAATACTCTGGTGTGGCCAGAGGATAAGGAATGGGAGAAAAAGAGTGAGAGGAAATGAAGCTAAAAGGATTAGTGGAGATATCCAAAAGGGGAAGGGTGATACCTCATATGTGATATTAAAATAATACCATTTACCCTATAGGGTTGAGATAAAGATTCAATGAGTTAATGGATAATTGAGTGCTCAAGAAATAGCGGATATTGAAGAACAAAGTGGGAGGCCTCACACTGATTTTAGAACCTATTATACCATCACGGTAGTCAAAACAGTCTGGTCCTGGTACAACAACAGATACATAGACCAATGGAACAGAATTGAGAATCCAGACATAAATTCATCCACCTATGAGCAGCT